GGGTATAGTGACAAAAGTGAAATCTCTGCAAGCTGCATGGGAACTTTTTAAAGACACCATAATAGAGTCTCAACTTAAATGTGTACCCCAAATTAAAAAACATAGTAAGAGAACCAAAAAAGAGCCACGTGGCTAAACAACAAAGTAAAAGAAGCAATGAGAGGCAAAAAGGCATCCTTTAAAAAGTGGAAGTTAAATCCTACTGAGGAAAATAGAAAGGAGCATAAAAACTGGCAAATGAAGTGTAAAAATATAATTAGGAAGGCCAAAAAAGAATTTGAGGAACAGCTGGCCAAAGACTCAAAAAGTAATAGCAAATTTTTTTTTTTTAATACATCAGAAGCAGAAAGCCTGCTAAACAACCAGTGGGGCCACTGAACGATCGAGGTGCTAAAGAAGCACTCAAGGACGATAAGGCCATTGTGGAGAAACTAAATGAATTCTTTGCCTTGGTCTTCATGGCTGAGGATGTGAGGGAGATTCCCAAACCTGAGCCATTCTTTTTAGGTGATAGATCTGAGGAACTGTCCCAGATTGAGGTATCATTAGCGGAAGTTATGGAACAAATAGATAAATAAAACAGTAATAAGTCACCAGGACCAGATGGTATTCACCCAAGAGTTCTGAAGGAACTCACATGTGAAATTGCAGAACTATTAACTGTAGTCTGTAACCTATCATTTAAATCGGCTTCTGTACCAGATGACTGGAGGATAGCTAATGTGATGCCAATTTTTTAAAAGGGCTCCAGAGGTGATTTGGGCAATCACAGACCTGTAAGCCTGACTTCAGTACTGGGCAAACTGGTTGAAACTTATAATAAAGAACAATATTGTCAGACATATAGATGAACTTAATTTGTTGAGGAAGAGTCAACATGGTTTTAGTAAAGGGAAACCATGCCTCACCAATCTGCTAGAATTCTTTGAGGGGGTCAAGAAGCATGTGGACAAAGGGGATCCAGTGGATATAGTGTACTTAGATTTTCAGAAAGCCTTTGACAAGGTCCCTCACCAAAGGCTCTTAAGCAAGGTAAGCTGCCACGGGATAAGAAGGAAGTTGCTCTCATGGACTGGCAATTAGTTAAAAGATAGGAAACAAAGGCTACGTATAAATGGTCAGTTTTCAGAATGGAGAGAGTTAAATGGTGGTGTCTAATACTGTCCATAAAACACAGATGGTTGTCTACATCACCGGTGATCAAACCCTGACACTGCTTACAACGCCTCCCGTTACACCAGTGCCCCTTGTCCACATAAGACTGACACTTATCACATAAAGTTTTAGACAGGCATTCAACTTGTTTTTTCGATGCACAGTCGACCTGTCTGTCTAAACAGTCTTTGGAGCGACAATACAGTCTACAGCTAGGACACCTCAGCTGCACGCCCACACTGTCTGAGCACGTCGCACTCGAGCAGAGGCAGCAACAATATCTGCAAGAGTGGTCATGACTGTACACTGCATGGCAAAACTCTCAATAATTTTTTGCACCGAACAACTTTTTCACATCCAGCACCCTATAGAAATGCTCATCATACAACAAGATGAAAAAAGTCTTGGGGTACACTGGGCCCGCCGTTTAAAAAAAACCCACCCGCATAAAGCACCACCTGTATGTTGACTTGTAAATGCTGTTCAGACGCCGCTACATTGCTGAGCATAATCTTTTTTTGATCTGACCACCCCAGTTTCTCATGCAACTTTCCAGTCTAACAATTCTGCTGTTAGACTATAGATATTCAGGCCCACCTGTAAAGCCTATATACTTTAGGAATTTAGGTGTATTCTTATTACTTAGGGCATGTCTTCACTACCCACCGATCCGGCGGGTAGCAATCGGTCTATCGGGGATCGACTTACCGCGTCTAGTGAAGACGCGGTAAAATCGATCCCTGATCGCTCTGCCGTCGACTCCGGAAATCCACCTCGGCAAGAGGCGGCAGCGGAGTCGGCGGCAGCGGTCAACTTTCCCGCGTCCTCACCACCAGGTAAGCCGACCTAAAATACGCAACTTCAGCTACGGTATTCACGTAGCTGAAGTTGCGTATCTTAGGTCGGACCCCCGCTGTAGTGTAGACCCAGCCTTAGCTAGCTATAGAGGCATAAAACAAAGAATCAAAATCACAGTCTGCCTGTGTATGGGCACTAGGGTTAGGGTTAGGGTTAGGATAGTCACTAGGAGAGTCTGAGGCCTTGTTCTTAGGCTAAGGGCTTTGGCTAAGCAGTAGGGCCAGCCATAAGCTGGGAAGCGTACGGTCACATCCTCACATTCCAAATCATTCACATTGAAATAAGGTAGTATTGGGCTGTTAGGAAGGCAGTTCTGGCCTGATAGTGCCCATCACTGCCAGATAAAGAAACAGATCTTAAGACGGTTAAAGAAAATTTAGTCGGATATAATCTTGTCTGGCAAGAACTCACTTATCAATAGTTGTGGTTGTGAAACCCTCATTTCTGTATTGTTCTGTCTTTATGGCCCTGACTTTTCTATTGTTAATCTATCTGGTTCTCTAATTGCTTCGGTCTGCTGTATAATTAATTTTGCTAGGTGTAAGTTAATTAAGGTAGAGGGATATAATTGGTCAGAGAATTATGTTACAATATGTTAGGATTGGTTAGTTAAATTTCAGTAAAATGATTGGTTAAGGTATAGCTAAGCAAAACTCAAGTTTTACTATATAAACTGAGGTCAAATAGGAAGTGGGGGAGGGAATTGGAATCATGTTTGCTAAGGGGGGGAGGGGAACAGGAACACAGGCAAGGCTCTGTGGTGTCAGAGTTGGGAAGAGGGACATGGGGTAAACACTCTGCGGCATCAGAGCTAGGAATGGAACACTGAGGAAGGAAACTGGAATAATGCTTGCTGGAAATTAACCCCAATAAACATCAAATTGTCTTCACTTTGGATTTCTGGTCTTTTTTGCTCTCTGTCTGCATGAGAAGAACCAGTGAAGTGGGAGGATGAAGGGGAAAGCTCTCTAACATCTGCGCCTGTAGGTTTACAGTCAGACATGACGGTCAAAAGCCCGCCCACAAAACACAGATTGGTAATAGTGTAAGTCAGGGCTACTAAACACTGTTTCTTTTTATGGACGATTTGACTACTGAGGATGAATTTAAAACTCCAGGGCCACCCCTGCTGATATTTTTTACAGTCGTCACGAGGCGCAACATCCCATCGACATGCATCTCTCCATTACTCTGTAACAGCTTTGTGGTCTGATTTAAGAAATCTTCAGGAGACAGCTCATCCCTAGTTCTTCTTATGGAAAACAAAGGGTTGGTTAAATTACGACTCTCTAAACGTAACTGAACGTAATCAGCAGGAGCTACTCTACTGCTTACATCATCGAGAACTAACTGTATCCCCCTGTGTACGGCTTCAACGACCTGCTGAGCTGAATTTATTCTCTCAACATTGACAAAACGAAATTCTTCACAATACACTGAACCCCCAAATCTAGGTAATTCCCGTTGCCAACTTCTCACTCATTCCATATACACATCTATTTGGGAGTCTGCGTCTGCCTTTTCAGGGTTACTTTGGGGTTCCTTTACGGGGCCATCAACTGCGTAGTCTACATCAGATGCTATTTGAGAGTCAGACTCCAAGGGTCATCAGGAGTAGATGGGGATCTGTCTAGAGCAGGGGCGAGCAAATTTTTTGGCCTGAGGGCCACATCGGGTTTCAGAAATTATATGGAGGGCCGGTTAGGGGAGGGGGCCCCATCCAACCCACCCTGTCCCCTGACTGCCCCCAGAACCCCCGCCCCTGACTGCCCCCTGCCGTCCCATCCAACCCCTCCTCTCATTCCTGACTGCCCCCCCAGGACCCCTGCCCCCATTCAACCCTCCTGTTCCCCACCCTCTGACCGCCCCAACCCCTATCCACACCTCCACCCCCTGACCACCACCCCCGAACTCCCCTGCCCTCTATCCAACCCCCCCGCTCCCTGCCCCCTTACTGCACTGCCTGGAGCATCGGTGGCTGGCGGCGCTACAACCGTGCCGCCCGGCTGGAGCCAGCCACGTCATCGCCACCGCACAGCACAGAGCACCGGGTCAAGCCGGGATCTGCAGCTGAGCTGCCCCAGGAGCTCGCAACCCCACCCCCCAGAGCATTGTGGCAGCAGCGGAGTGCGCTGAAGCTGCAGGGGAGGGTGAACAGCAGGGGAGGGGCAGGGAGCTAGCCTCCTGGGGCAGGAGCTCAGGGGCTGGGCAGGAGGGTCCCACGAGCCAGATGTGACCTGCAGGCCATAGTTTGCCCACCTCTGGTCTAGAGAGCCTTCTGGGGAATTTTCTAAATCAGACTCTGTGTGAAAGTCACCACTGTCCTGCAGGTTGGATTCCGCCTCACCATTCTCAGACACACCAGTTTGAGAGCCTCCAATAAGGGGCATCTCTTTTTGTTTTTTTTCTCCTCATCACCTCTTTAGCCTTTTAAAAAAGTCTAGTGACCCTGGCTTGTAACTTTTGGGTCCATTTATCTCCCAAATGCTGTCCCCCCTTTTGTTTACGCCTTAGCTGATGTGTATCCTTGAGGGTGCCCCTTTTACCCAAGCCCCTTTCCATGACTAGTCATGCCTCCTCAGAGCCACCCTCTGGAAAAGTTAACATATATTTCAAAAATTCATCCGCAAGATCTTTTGCATTTTGGATGTAGTTTCCAATCCTCCTTTCTTTTAGAACCCCTGAGGATACAGAGCCCATCAGCTTTCTAAACAAAGCATCATATTTTTCCCAAATCTTTTTAGAATACTGAAGAGCTGTGCCGAGCTTATTGTGTAGGGAGAATGGTTCGTAATAATTTTCAGATACTTCATAAGGAGCTACCCCCACATTACAGGAGCTTTCAGTCCTTGGTTTTTTATTCACAACCCCTAAAGAGTGTGCTCCGGGTTTGTGAATGTGTGCATTTTCGCTCACAGTTTTCTCAGGGCTTGGTGTGGTGCTGAGCACTGAAAAACTGGAGTAGTGTTTGTGTGGTTGCTTTTTACCAGGATCTTTTGTTTTGTCCTTTGGCTTGACGTATACGAGCTTTGGACTCATCTGCGCTCTTGTGCTGTTTTGCGTTGGCATTGTTGTTAAAGGTCTTAGAGAAGATTCCTGGTTCTTTGGCAGTTCTTGCGGAGGTGTCCCTGTAGCTCCGTCTATGGCATCATCAGGCGAGCTGGCCATGCCTGATTAGGAAAAACAGATGTTGCAAATTAGCCTCAAATAAACATTTTACAAAATTCACCAAAACCACAAAACTTTACTTTACTATCTTTCTCACCCACACCTATGTATTTACTTAAAATGCAAAACCTCATAAAATAACCTAACCAATAAGCAAAATATATTTACTGGGCTTCACCCGTCCATCAGCCATTGATGCTGGTGAATTTTTCTTTTCAGCTGTCTCTTTCCTTTTCCTTTTGAGCTTGTTTACCCCCTGGTCTAAGGGTCTCTCATGTTTTGACTGTACTGTGGAGCAGACAACATTATTATAAAACGCATGAAACTATCTTAAGTATTGGAGCATAAGCTTTCGTGGGTGAATGCCCACTTCATCAGACGCAAGTGGGCATTCACCCACTTGCGTCTGATGAAGTGGGCATTCACCCACGAAAGCTTATGCTCCAATACTTCTGTTAGTCTTAAAGGTGCCACAGGACCCTCTGTTGCTTTTTACAGATTCAGACTAACACAGCTACCCCTCCGATACATGAAACTATCTTGTAAACTTAAAAATAAATTACTCATTAGGGTTTTTTTCTATTTAAAAAGTCATCGTTTTAAACAAAATAATCCATTTCAGGCTATACAACACACACAGCTTTTGGTTTATTTCTACCACTAGAGTTTCTCCAAAACCAAGACATTTTTAATACAAGCACATGTTTCCACCATGCACCCAAAACATAGTGTGCAGTAGAATATGTTTTAAATTCCCCACCATAACTATGTCTGGCACAGGACCCCTGAATCACCAACAACAATTTAAACATTTAAATTAATTTTTAAACAGCCCAGTTTAAAATCACATCACATTTTGCAGAGTAAAAACCAAACTGTTTAAAAACAAAATATTGTAAAACCCCACACTTATCTCTAGCATAGCCCCTAAGTCACAATTTAAACATTAAAACCAACTCTTAAAAAAAAAAACATTTTAAAACAAACACACACGCACAAGTCAATTACATTAATTTACCATCCACCCCAGGGTAAAGGGGTGCTGGCACATGACTGTTCTGTATTCCCCCATGTGTATTTGGGCTTTGGATTAAAGAAGAAGCAAAAAGTTTAGTTAGTATTATTCCTCAAATGCATCAAATCCCTATGCAACCTGTGTAATATTTGATGTTTTTTAATTTAACAGTATTAAGCATAACTATAGCTAAATTTTTTTTAAAGTTTTACCTGGCCCTGGTGAAATGCAGCTTGAAGTTGTTGTTTTCATACTAAACAGTTCATACTGCAATAAAGATAGCTACCATTAATTAGTAAGGATAGCATGGACAAAGATTGACATTATATAACAGGGGTCGGCAACCTGCGGCACACGAGCCGATTTTTACTGGCATGCTGCTGCCAGCCGGGGTCCCGGCCACCGCCCCCGCTCAGCTCGCTGCCAGCCTGGGCGAATGGAACCCCAGGCCGGCAACAAGCTGAGTGGGGCAGGCGGCCGGGACCCCAGACCGGCGGCGGGCTGAGCGGCTCAGCCCGCCGCCAGTCTGGGGTTCAGTCCGCCGGTGTAGTGCATTAAATTTCTCCCCGTGGGAATGTGCTACTTGCAGAGCACCACGACTGGAGGCCGTAAGTAGTACACCGTAAGTAGCACATTCCTACGGGGAGAAATTTAATACACTACACCCGGGTAGGGAAGGCTGTGCCTTCCCAAACAGCCCGCTCCCATCCACCTCCTCCCACTTCCCACCCCCTGACTGCGCCCCTCAGAACTCCTGACCCATCCAACCCACCCCGCTCCTTGTCCCCTGACCGCCCCTCCTGGGAAACCCCTGCCCCCTGACTGCCCCCCTCAGAAACCCCCACCCACCCAAGCCCCACTGCTCCCTGTCTCCTGACTGCCCCGACACTTATCCACACCCCGGATCCCTGACAGGGCCCCCGGGACTCCCACACCTATCCAACCACCCCTGTTCCCCGTCCCCTTACCATGCCGCTCAGAGCACCAGGACTGGCAGCCGTAAGTAGTACACTGTAAGTAGAACATTCCTATTGGGAGCAATTTAATACACTACACCCCGGCCCCGCTCAGCCCGCTGATGGTCTGGAGTTCTCAAAATATGTTCTCACACCCCTTATCAAAAATTACCCTACAATTAGCTTAAAAACTTGAAAACTTAAAAACTTTGTATATTACAATAATCGTTAAAAAAATTATAATGTTAATAAATACATAGGTTTGATGAAACAAAGTAGTTGTACTTATGTGCCTGTGCTTAATTTGTGTTTTCGATGATTTACCTTCTAAAAAATCTCACGTCTCGCACCCCCAGAAAGGGCATCTCGCACCCCACGTTAAGAACCACTGCACTAAACTGATAAGATCTGCATTTTAATTTAATTTTAAATGAAGCTTCTTAAACATTTTTAAAACCTTGTTTACTTTGCATACAACAATAGTTTAGTTATATAATAGAGACTTACAGAGAGAGACCTTCTAAAAACGTTAAAATGTATTACTGGCATGCAAAACCTTAAATTAGAGTGAATAAATGAAGACTTGGCACACCACTTCTGAAAGGTTGCCGACCCCTGTTATATAATATACATTTTCAGACTTAAAAACAAGCGACATACCTCGTCTTGCAGTCCAACCGCTATTCTGTTCAAGATAGTTTCTGTTGAAAGAGAACAGTCTTCAAAAAACTGAGGTTTTTATACCATCCTAACTCTTTCTTTCAAAGTCTGTAGTTAGCAGGTTAATTCGATCACTTACGACTCTGAATTAATAGATCCTTAAGGAAATTAGGCCCTTTTGTGATCTGCGGGGTGGGGGAATTACCGTAAGTTGTCAGCACAACTGGGCTGCTTTTGGCTATTTTTTTTTTCTTTTAGTTAAAATACATTTTTCTCTTTCAATGAAAAAACAGAGCACATGCTGGCCAAGCCAGCTCCTGCCAAGCCCGCTAGGCCAGCCCCGGCCAAGCCGACCCCGGCCAAGCCGACCCTGGCCAAAGCGGGCGAAGCTGGTCCATGCCCAGCCAAGCCTGTCAGGGCCAGATTGGCACTTACTCCTCCTGCCGAGGTGGAGTACGGGCGTCCATTAGCGGATCAATTTATCGCGTCCAGACGAGACGCGATAAATCGATCCCCGATACATCGAACACTACGCGCCGATCCGGGGGGTAGTGTAGATGTACCCAAAGGCTGGGAAGGAGCCAGAAAGAAAAGGAAAGGGGAGAGAGAGAGGAGGGCAGGCAGGCGGGCGGGCCAGTCAGCCCACCCTCTAGCTGGTTACTGACCCAGCCTATGTTAGGTGAGAATCATAGAATCATAGAACATCAGGATTGGCAGGGACCTCAGGAGGTATCTAGTCCAACCCTCTGCTCAAAGCAGGACCAATCCCCAAACAGATTTTTGCCCCAGATCCCTAAATGACCCCCTCAAGGGCTGGACAGAACGGTCCCACGGGCCGGATGTGGCCGGCCAGCCGTAGTTTGCCCACCTCTGCTTTATAGTGTATAAACTGTTTAATGGACAAATTACCTTGTGTTAAGCTGCATAGCTAATTGCCAGGATATTTGAAAAACAGAAGGTCACAAAAGAATATTGTTCATCCAGGACTGAATGCTCAAGAGGCTCCTAGAAAAGTATAAAAAGCCTTGGGATCTGATTCTGACATCTCAGATCTGCTTTGGGTTTCAACAAGGGGAAACCTTAAGCCATAAGAATTGAGATCCCTAGCGATTGACTGAAGTCACCCTGAATATGGACTTTGGACTATAATCTATGGACTATTTCTAAAAGAACTTTTGCAATTACAAGCTCACCATCTCTGCTCTGTATCTGAACCTCAAGAATTGAACTCATGTCTGTATGTATTTGATTCCTTTAACCAATAGGCTCTCTCTTTTCTTTTTTAATAAATTCTTAGTTTAGTTAATAAGAATTGGCTATAAGTGTGTATTTTTGGGGTAAGATCAAAGTTATAATTTGACCTGGGTGTGTGCCTGGGATCAGAAGAACCTTTTATTTTATATGATGAAATAAGATTTTCAGTAATCATCATTGTATTTTTTGACATGTGTACCTAGATGGAGGCCTGAGGCTGGATATTTTAAGGGAGCTGTTTTGTTTGGACTTCTGAGTAACCAGTAAGGTAGTACAGAAGCTGTTTTGTGCTGGTACATCTAAATATTGGAATATTCACCAGCTTGTGGGGTTTGTCCGCCCCATTCTGTGTGCAGTTCCCCCTACTTGAGTGACCTCAGCTGGCTCCCACGGGCACCCATTGTCACAGCTGTACAGAGCTGAAATCTCCCTGGACTTATTTGGGAGGGTAACCAGGCCCGGAGGAGGAGGGGCCAACCGTGCACTCGGCTACAATGTGTGTACAGTGAAATCGACATTTACTATGATTTATTATAAAAATCCAATGCTTTCAAGTGTATGTTTAAGTAATTAAGTAGCTGATCTGCAACTACTAGCAGCAAATATCTCCAACAGCCAGCGATGGGACACTAAGTGCTGAGGGCTCTGAGTTACTACAGAGAATTCTTTCCCAGGTGTCTGACTGGTGGGTCTTGCCCACATGCTCAGGGTCTAATTGATCACCATATTTGGGGATGGGAAGGAATTTTGCCCAGACTCAGATTGGCAGAGACCCCTGGGGTAGTTTGCCTTCCTCTGCAGCATGGGACCTGGGTCACTTGCAGGTGTTAACTAGTGTAAATGGTGGATTTTTTGTAACTTGAAGTCTTTAAATAATGATGTGAGGACATCAGTAACTCAGCCAGAGGTTAGGGGTCTATTACAGGTGTGAATGAGTGACTTTCTGTGGCCTGCAACGTGCAGGAGGTCAGACTAGATGATCATGATGGTCCTTTCTGGCCTTAAAGTCTGTGAGTCTATAAATTGTGCTTTGTGTTGCACAGACACTGATGGAGATCAGGGCCCCATTGTGCTGCACATGGCTCAGAACCTGACTGAGATCAGTCAGGTGGTTTGTCCATGGAGGCACAGGCTGTCTTGGCAGGGCAGCTCAGCTGCAGCCCCTGCACACAGCTGGGGGTGTGTGGAAGGAGAAGCCAGTGTCCAGTCCTGGGGTGCTGTGCTCCTCCTGGCTCATACCTCCAGCACAGCACTGCCCCTTTGTTACCTGCTGCCAGGACCGGCTCCAGGCACCAGTTAAGGAAGCAGGTGCTTGGGGCTGCCAATACAAAGGGGCGGCAGTCCGTCCGGTATTGGGGCGGCACATCCGGGTCTTTGGCGGGAATTCAGCGACGGGTCCCTCAGTCCCTCTCTTCCTCTTTGAGCTGCCGCCGAAGAGGAAGAGAGGGAGTGAAGGACCCGCCACCAAACTGCCGCTGACGAATGGAGCGGTGCGATTGAGCTGCCGCCGATGTGACGCCGATCGGTGCTTTTTTTTTTTTCCCGCTGCTTGGGGTGGCAGGAAACCTGGTGCCGGCCCTGCCTGCTGCACTGTTCAGCCAGCCTCAGGCCTCAGGGAGGTCACTGTCCCCCCCGCACCCCAAGCCTTCAACATGGTGCGCCCAGTGCTAATCAGAGTGCACCAGTGTAAATTCTGTCTACACTAAGCATTTGCACCAGTGCCTAAAACACCAGTGTGGGAGAGACCTTCAGTATCCAAAACACCAGTACGATGGCACTAGAACTGGGTTATATTACTAGCTCTGTCATGGACAGCCTGGGTGACCTTGGACACGTCAATGTTTCTCCTCATAACTTTAGTCTACTTACTAGGGCTGTCAAGTGATTAAAAAAATTAATTGCGATTAATCGTGCAATTAATTGCTCTTTTAAACAATAAAATACCATTTATTTTAAATATTTTTGGAGGTTTTCTACATTTTCAAATATATTGATTTCAATTACAACACAGAATATGAAGTGTACAGTGCTCACCTTATATTTATTTTTGTTACAAATATTTGCACTGTAAAAAACAAAAAAAATGTTTTTTTCAATTAATCTCTCTTTATCATGAAAGTTGAACTTACAAATATAGAATTATTTACAAAAAATAACTGCATTCAAAAATAAAACAATGTAAAATTATAGAATTTACAAGTCCACTCAGTCCTACTTCTTGTTCAGCCAATCACTCACACAAACATGTCTGGTTACAATTTGCAAGAAATAATGCTGCCTGCTTCTTGTTTACAAAGTCACCTGAAAGTAAGAACAGGCGTTTACATGGCACTGTTGTAGCTGGCGTTGCAAGATATTTATGTGCCAGATACACTAAAGATTCATATGTCCCTTCATGCTTCAACCACCATTCCAGAGGACATGCTT